TTCGTGCCAAGCGACAGTAGCATTCGTTTCAGGGAGACATGCTACCCGGGTACATTTCCAACAAACTTGGATGTTCCTACTTCTTTATTATCAGAACAATATAGTGGCAGACAACAATGTCTGCCATCCTTCCACGTGATAGACTGGCTGTCAGCCACCACTGGCATCGTCGTCAACGTGTTGAAGACACGCTGTACCCTCACCTCCGTAGATCCTGGTCCCTGCCGTGTGTGAGAGAGCTGCAGTAACGTGTCATTATCTGTGTTCAAAAGTGCACGGGAGCGAGCTGCCGAGTAATGATGTCTGGGTGCCGTTCCGGACTCTACTCCCGCTACCCTCAAGGTGCAACATCCGAGTGTGTGTTCCGCGTCGGATCCATCGGGTCCCGCAGCGAACACACCCACTTCGATGTTGACAATTAGAAGTGAGAGCACGCAGACATGTGGCGCGTACGGTTTCAGGTCAGGCGTGTGGCTGGCCAAGGGATTCCCGAACGGCTTCCGGGTATCACGCCCTCCAGCCTCGTTCAGTGCGCCCTTGAGTGGGAAAGTGTGAGGGCTACTGCTTTCGCGGACGACCATTCACACTCACGTCTTGGGCAAGGTGCCTCAAGAATTCATCGAGTATGTGTAATCCAGCTTGTCTACAAAGCGTGAAACACGGTTTTGAGCACCCGTCGGAGCGAAACGTGTGGGCCAATCTCGCCATTCCTGTGACAAAGGCCCAGCGTCTTCTCATAGTAGTACTCTAGTAAGATAACCGGATTTATAACTATGAGACAAAACGATTTATTTCAGTCACATTGCTTTTCCAACTGGGCGAAACGCATCGCCAATTACAAGCTGCACTTGAAGCAGAACTGGCTGATGCGATGAAAGAAGATATCGACGTTCTCGCAGATACGACGACACTGGACAATACAAAGTCAGAGGATGAAGACGTGAAAGAGGATCTTGATGCGGCGCAACGTCGACGAATTGCCGAAACTCGAACGGGGTATGTCGTTGGGTTTCTATGTCACGTGAACTCTTAGTTTTCTTTGATTAATCGCTAAACGATCAGTATGAGAAACAGTGGCAGAACAAAGCTTCATCGTGCTGTTCTCGCCTACGATTGGCACTGCTGCTCATTATCCAATCATATGGGGAAGGCGGCGTTGCTTTGGTCGAACGTGACCTTGGTCGAACGTGACCTTTCTCCAGCAGGACTGCTCACTTGATACATGAGGCAGATTCTTCATAAAAATGTATGTCATTTCAGAATGGCTGAAAACGAATGGCGCATCAATTTCGAACAAGTGCTCGCCACAGTTCTTAGCGAGGCCTTACTGGCGAATTATTTTGAGACCAAGTACTCGTTACAAGGACTTGTCAAGAGGTGTGTACTTCATTCAGCGAACTAAAAAATGAAGGCGCCATGCGGCGTAAGCACTGCAGATCTAGAGGCGCAGAGCACTTGTTACTGGTACGTTTGCCCAGAAACAGTAGCAGGGGCAGTGGTATGTGGGAGGAACCGCAAAACGGTCAGCGAAAACATGAAGAAAAGCCTTTGTTTTGCACGGCCAACTGGACGAGGCATTTTATGGAACGAGTTTATAAGGCAGCTGTAATGGATATTTGGTACTTGGCCTAAAAATGGCTAGCAAGGCGGCCATATAAGGGGATCGGGGAAAATGGCTAAAAAAACAGAAAGTGTAAACGGTTTAAAAAACCTGCGGAGAAAAAGCTTTGTACTTAGGCGACTCGGAAGCAATTCGGACGAGTTTTCCGTACGACAGCCACGCCACTAACGCTACGGTGGGTAAAGCTACATGTATGTACTCATATATCCATGCAGCACCTCAGCCGCTTCATACCAATTCCTTCGCTTCATATTTTACTCAGCAAATAAACCAATATAAGCATCGGGTACAGTCGTCCATTTGTGGGCGGGGCGATGCGGTAGGCGTTGGGTCTGTATATGTATTACACTTGTGGATTAGGGTCGCTAGTAAAGGGCGTCCCTGTTCAAGAAAAGACGCCACGAGAACGCCGCTGCTCGGGAACGCAATACTGGCTTGCTAGGTCGTATTTACGCCTAATACTCCTTTTTCCATTTTATCGTGGGCCATTTGCCTTTGAATTATGGTGCCTAAAAAACGACTCCTGTTAGGTACCGGGAAAGCGTTTGCATCGTGCGTCTTGGAGTGGTTCGATTCGAATGCTCCCAAAGCACTAACACGCGCTACGAAACGTCGTTTCCTCCATGTTATAATTAAATTCAATCACTTCACTCGGTGATGTTATTAGGAGTAACTAATGTAAGATTTTTCATGTCTTTATACTGTACTTGCATTCTATTAGAGCTTATTTCCTGTCTCCTGCTAACATTATTTATGGCTCACAACATTAACTCCTTCTAGAACACTTCTTACCGTGTATGTGTCAAGACAATCGTAATACGCCGCAATGGTGGGCGTGGTGAGCGATGCCGTGCTCGGAGAGGCCGTGCAGGACGAGTCACCTTGTCCGGCATTTTGGAAATTTGAGTGTTAGAGGGACGAATAGTTCGATTTAATCGCGTGTTGTCCTGGATTCCTATGGGTTTAGCTGATCCAATCGGCAACCAACGCACCCTCGAGACTCAGGCCGCTTATCGCCGCAGTTAACCATCGGGCGCGCGAACGAATGCGAGCAAAGTTAACGATTGTCTTGCCCGTCATCACTTTTACTCACCGTTTTTGATTGCCTACTCACTTTTTACTAGGATTTGCTAAGATGGCTTTCACCACTGCTGGCTTTGTCGCTGTCATGGAAACATCAGCAAAAGTGATATCGTTTCTGCGCGCGTAAAATCAATACTCATTCAAATGTGCGCAGGGATAATGAAAAATTAAGTGGAGTGTGGAAGTATCCTGTATGGTTCTGTAAATTTCTTTTAGTACGTTTGCTTGACAGATTACACACTCCTATTGGTATGTTTCACCAAGAGTTTCAGAATATTGTTGTGATATAATCAAAACAGGTAGTAGGACAGTATGGGCTGTACATTCATCGGATTTCCAAATCTTTTCTTTCATTTCATAGCATAATCTCCGTTTGTAAATAAAGCTATTTGTAAAGTTTTCGTTGAAATGTCAAGGAGGGGTAGTGAGAAGAGTTTGGAAGTTGCTGATTGGCTCCCGCTGCGATATTTCCTTGGATACAGGCTGACTGCAGAGGATCTCCAAAGAACGACATGGTAACGATCAACACATAGTTTGGGTAGTGCGGAGACTATCCCCCCCAGCTGTTGAAGCGTAGCGGTTTCCCCGTGGAGTGCTTCATTCCTGAAGACAGAAGTCGCGGTGGCGAAATAGCTAGCCCGCTCCCATATAGGAAAGCTGGCTGTTGAACATCGTTCCAACGTTTTGGCAAAACCAACTATCACAAAGTGCTGTAGAAGCGCGAAAAATTGATACTGTTTTAGTTTTGGCTGCTGGAAGAGTCACGTCGGCATTGCGAGGGCGGGGAAAAGGGGGAGGGCAGGTTGTGGAATCCATGGTGATGGGACTTACTTTAGTATGCCGATCAAGAACAGCAGTGTTACAAGTCTGTTGTTTATACCAATGACGTTGTCCAGTCCATTTTCCGCTAGAGTACTACTTTTCGAAAAGCTGTTCAAAATCTCTCAGAGACTAGAAGGAGAGTGGGTAGGTACACCTCAAAGGCCAGGTCATCATCACTACAGCTGATATCGTCGCAGTCAAAATGGGCGGTGTCAAGCCGGAAGTAATGAGATCGCCCGCGGCGTTCTCACCATTGGTTGTTTTGCTCTCGAAATTCGATCGCTATGACGCGATGGCTGTCGTGGAAAAAAGCAGCAGCATGCAAGTTATTCTGCCCCTCCCAACACCTCTGGCTGACTGCGGCAATACCGACTATAGGTGCCTGCTATGAACACAGTGGACGCTGCGAAGATACCGAATCCTCCTAATCCGGTCTTTTGTTCTCGTTGAATCGGTCGATTGTGTGAATAATTCCAATTCAACTGAAACGAAACAAGATTTCCCGATAAGTGACGGAAAAGGTGTTCGAACCTTTTTGAGGCGAACATTTAAAAGGCCCAAAGGGCGAGCAGTGGTATGGCTCTTGGTAATCGTAAATTATTGCTCGATTGCCGTAGTTAAATATCTCAACGATTTGGATGAACTTCGAATTCACGGCACGTTCCGAAGGAATCCGTGGTCTCTTATTGTTAGCATCTAATACTCGAAAATCCCTGTAAGTTACCAATGCTATTTCCCGTTGGCCAGTTTAATAGCAGAATTTTCATAGGTTCCATCTGCTGGTAGTAAGAGGAAGAAGCACTGAAATAAGTGCACAAGGCTCTTGAAAATTATACTAGAAAGCTACTTCTTCGATCGTTTTACTTCAGGTAAATTATTTCATAGAGTGAGAAAATTTCCGTTAATGCAAGAAACAAAAAATTTCCAGCTGGTCTTTTTTTGGAAAAGTTCGATCGCAGTGTGAGCGAGATTACTTTTAGCATCGTCTGGTTATTCAAAACCTGATTTTTCCACCTGGTGCTGCGTTTACAGACGATTTTCTTGAACATTCTATATTTACTTGAGCAAGCTGATTTCATACCTCATGGTACTAGAGCACCAGAAAATTGGTAGCAAGCTTGGATAGGTATCGAAAATTAAAAATGAAGTAAACTATTATACAAATGTAGTATCATAAAAACTATAACAAAAAATGTGACGCACCCCTATTTTTCAAACATTGAAAAATTAATAATTAAATGACTGAACAACTAATTAGTGGCAAATAGGTCAAGCATAGCGTTAATGTATGGGGAGATGATGCAGTGTTGTTTGCTGTGGATCACCGCCCACAAGGGCACCATGAATTTATAAACAATGGAAAGAACATACGACTGACGATGAATAAACAGACGAAAGGTATTCTCGGACTTTTCTGATCGTAGGAGCACATTTGCTTGCAATTGGGAAGCCCTATCTAGAAGTTACACCTTCCAAACACCTGCGTGAAAGCCCCATGCATGGCGCATTGCAGAGGTGATGCCAATTGGCGCCCAATGGCCTATTTCCTGATACCCTTTGCGAAAACATGTGTTTAGAAGCATACCAAAGTCTTCAAGCCAACTGGAGGTTTCATGGCCTCGGAGGGGCTGATTTTTCGTGTCGTGGGGGGTGGGGTGTCACGAAATGATCACAAGGGGAATTTTCGAATAGCAGGCCTGGGAAGAAAGTTAAAGCCTTGCTGGAAAGTAGAAATCTTCAACATTCCGAGCCAGCAAATTCTTTTTTTGTTTTACGAAAGGCCGTGTATGAAGCTTGCCATGGACGTCCAAAGCGTAGCGACGCGCGGTTCGCAAAAATGATCACAGACGGATCACAACGATGATCACTACGGGGAAAATCTCTGGAATCGGAACCTTTTTGAAATTGCTTAATTCAGGTGAGGAAAACCAAATGACAAGAGCCAACCTAGCTCTACTCATTCCCGTTTACCCCTCTCCGATAGCTTCACTTTCAACGAAGTTATGGGTGTTCAAATGAGGGGTACTTTTCACGTGTTTGGCTTGAAATTGGCTCCAGGCCGTAAAATAGCGCGCACCAATGAGCTTGTATGAGCGCGCTGACCGCGAACAGCCAAAATTCAAAAGTAATCCATAGTTCCGGTTCCCAGCTGGCCTGGTGAGTTTTTTTTCTTATCCATTTGATTGTGAATTATTTTGATTGTTTGCTTTTGCTGAGTTTGATTTTGTTTTGCGTTGAGTTTGATTTTGTTGTGAGGAAATTGCTCAGGATTCAATTTCTACGGTTTCATAGGTAGCTTTTGCAATGGATTCTTTTCTAGATTTTGCGGATTAGTGGATTGGGATTTATCTAGACCAGATGAGGAGGGTTGGTGGGCGAAGTGTCTTGAAGTTTTTTTGTGAGGAAGGAGGAAAAAGTTTCAGCAATATTTTTTTAGTTCTTGGCCTAGGAATAGTTCGATAGTGCCTAGTTCTATTTATTGTCATCTACATCGTCCCTTTTGAGCTTCTTTTTCACTTGTACCGTGTATCACCGCTCTCTCCACTTCAACATGGGCCATGCGTTTACGACCCCCCCCCCTCCATCGCGGGCAAATACGACCCCCTCCGTTGTGATGATCACAAGGATGGCTGCCCTCGGTGTAGTGGAGGCACTGACGACGGGAGAAGCCTGCTGTGAGCGCAGCCGGGAAATAGCTGGCCGCTCGCACGCGTTTTCTCTCGCTCTTCGTTGTCTGCTCTCTCATCTGTTCTCACAGTGCCTACGTTATTCGTCGTCTGCTCTCTCCCATCTGGTCGAGCAATCTTTCTTCGCTGTACGTTCGCACATATTGCATCGACTGGCGAAGTAAGGAAGTCCTCAACTCAGAAGGGTTTTCCAATATTTTCTTTCTGTTTTTTTGTCGTGCGGTGATCAGATAGAGTCAACCTCTATTTATAGACTCATATTTAAATCTCATTATCCGCTGTCGCGTATTGTGCCTTCTAAACACCTGTCACTGAGCTCTTTCTCTCTGGACTACTGACTGCTTGAGTTATCCAGTGAAAAGCAGGGACTGGTGCATAGAACAATCTGCTGAAGCGTTTATTGAGATTTACCTCTAGCAATCCCAGCTGCGAACAGCTTTCTGCAAAAACTATGAATCAAGGCTTCAGTCAGACGCTATTTAACTACAACTTCACTGCAAAACTCAAAAATGTTTTGGCTGAAACTTTGTAGGAGTAAAAGCCGAACTGTGTCAAAAATTCGAGATTCGTATACTCATCTCTTGCATTTATTGATACATTTTGATCGTAGTCATTCATAATTACTGACTTTCAACGAAGAAAAATGTGCCGTCCCACCCAGAAGTCATGAGAAAAACAGTTCGTCGTCAACGTATAATAAGCGCTGCACCAACACGAATGTAATGAATGTGCCTTGAAGGCATGAATACTCACCAACTTCCGATAATTTCGCACTTAGCTGATGATTTTCCTTGTCAGCAATCAGTATATCGTGCAACGTTTTGCACAGCTGGATGAATTGAATCTGTAAACTTCAGAATTCATATGTTCTTGGATATCTACAGTCTTGTTTGCCACGGATGATGGGCTGTATCACGGGGGAGGGGGGGAGGCTTCCAGTCCTTTCTCCACCGACTGTGAAAGGCTGGCAGGCGATTACGATTGGTGGGAAACTGGCTGCGCCGCGCCAAACCCGGCCCCCTGACACGCCCCAGCGTCCACGGCGAACAAGTTGAACTGCTTCCTTCATACCCTCACATCGTACCTGATTCATCGGCGGGAGCGTTTTGATTTCCAGCCGAGCAGAAGCCGCATCTGGTGACGACAACGTGGCACGCAGATTCCGAAGTTTACTGATAGATTCATCAATAAGTGACAACGATTCTGAAGGGAAAATTGTCTTTGGGATACGCCACATTTCCTATGTTGTCTAAAATCATGGGAGTGTTTATTGGAGCAATAACTTACCCTCACTAGCCTCATCGGCTACTTGAACATGACTCGAATCAGATGGATCACTCCCGTAAGATTTTGGGGCTATTAGATCCAGTAATGACGAAGCACTCGATTTAGGGTCATCCACCATCACTGCACTTGTTGACGTGCTCTAAATTATTCAAAAATTCGTGATGAACACCCTTGAGGACACATTTCTCGATAAATGATGGGCGGAGACACATAACCATTTTTAAGCTTTTCTGGCGCGCTGCTACTCTTTGCCGTTTCAAGGAAGAGCTACACAAATGAGGAAAGCACAAAAGCTTGTGAGTCTCGCCCATTTCATCATCTGTAATTCGTTCTCGAAGAAGGAGAACCACAGCAGATACCCACTCTATCACTTGAAATGTCCCCTTTCGTTGGTGAATTGTCTTGTGAGGTACTAGCCGATGGTGAAGATGCCAGCATATCCATCGCGTCAACTGCAACCTCCGGAGTGTCATCTGGAACATACGAATGAACACAACACAGTTTGGCTGGCAGGGGGGAGGGGCATTCTGCAGTTTCGCTACTTCCTCATATTCATTGCTTTACAAGCGTAGACAGGTATTCTCTATAAGATTTTACAAATTTCCACTTGATAGCTCGGCACGACAGTGGGAGGCAACGAAAGCGCGAAATGCTCCCTCTCCCCCCCCCCAAGCCGGACTGGATTGAAAAGCGATGTAGAACAGGCTACTTGAACAGCTAACTAAAATAGTAGGTAAA